ATTTGATTATAGCAACACTACTGATGCAACTATAGGGTTGCTAATGGGGAGAAAACTCAGCACCTGGTTAAATCTGATCTTCACAGACATGGTGGGGAGGGTGAACTGCATCAGGAATGCTGATGCTGAATACCAGTTTCCACGAAGCAAGAGGGACAGTTTACTTCAGGGGAAAACATTTAGTGTAGGAACCATGGAAATGGTCCTACAAAGGCAAGAGGCATGGTCAATGGGAGGTCAGGTCCAGTGACATATAAAGTTTTGGTGGGTGTGATGGGTCTGAACAAGTATGAGGACCATATGAAATTTGAAACTCACAAACAGTGTGGGAGCAAAACGTGCTCAGTTCCTCGACAGACTTTTCCAACTGTTCTGGAACCTGTGGGTTCTCCCTCTCCATCAAGTATTGAAGATACCTCGGAGTCTGAGATGGATATGGCAGATGTCACCGCTTTGACACCTTTGTCGCCTAAAGAAGAGAATGAATTACTTCTGAGACACTCCGGGCACAAAAAGTGAGCTAATATGTGTTACATATTGCCTGCATCAGAGACAGAATTGGAGGAACCTGACCTGGTGCTAGAACGCCCCATGAGGACCTACAGAAAAAAGAACTGGCCTATGTCCTCTGACTCCAAGGGGGAGGGTTGTCACGATTGTAACAAGGTCAGCCAAGTGGACTTCATAGAATATGAGCTGCCTGGTTGGGGCTTTAATCTGATCCAATCAGGAAGACCTGGCTCATAGATATAAACAGGAGTGTCAGACATCCTGTTCACTCTGAGAACTCGCTCGGAGGGAGCTGGATCAGTGTCAAGGACTCTCCACGTGTGATTAAAGGGTGACTTAGTGATGGGATACCAGCTTCTGTGAGTTATTTCAAGTCAGTATTTTGCTCCATGCCCCCTCGCCAGACATCTAAACATAAGCAAGTCATCAACATCCTGTAAGGCCATGTCTAGTGGAAGGCCAACCCTGGCTTGGCTGGGATGACTTTCACTGCTACTTTCTCGTCAACATCAGGAAATATTTGATTGAGTACTTAAACTCAGGTGTCTATTTAACTTTGTCAGGAACTTCTGCTGCTGCATTACTTCTGTAATTAAACCTCGGAGCTGCTTACATAGTTCCATAACACAGTCTGTAATCTTATCTTTCATCAGTCCTCTTTCAGTGATCCCCATTATGAAACCCTCAGGAGGCTTGTAGCCACAGTCATTAGTTCATAAAGGGTTGATTTGATTGTTCAGTTGGGAGTGGCCAATAATCTCATCGATATTGCCTTTGAACTGGGTGTCTTTTTGTTTGGATTCATATGCTGTACCATCCCTGAGCTCCAGGGGTTGTGGGGTATGTGAAACTTTTGCTTGACTTCCAGAAATTTCCATGTAGTTTTCACGATCTTGTCTGTAAAGTAGGTCCCTTGACTAGAATCTGCAAGGGGACCCATGACCACAGTACCACTTCCTCTCAGTATCTAGGCAGCTGTATCTGCAGTGCACTTCCTGATCATAAGTGCTTTGATCTACCTCATGAATTGATCTTTAATCACCAGAAAGTAAGTATTCCCCTTACATTTAGATTAGGATTCTGTAAAGTCAATTTGCAAATTTTGCCAAATGCCCCTGTGCAGAGATTGGTTTCCCATGCAGATGCCTTTCTTACAGTTATGTTGTGCACGAATTCAAAGTCTGTGACTGTAATTTACCTACTTCCTGGTCCATGTACGGGCACCACATGAATACCTTTCAAGTGTGTGTAACATGCCTTCTTGTTTCCTACTATGTGTATCCCTATGGTAGATTCTCAGTAAATTGTATCTAAAGCGTCTGGGTGCTGATACATAGTCCATGACTGCATTTCACTTGTCTTGGCCTGTGCTGGTTTATGGGCTAGTTTCTGGGGTGCACACCAAATAAAGCATGAACTGTACCTGGAGGACCATCAACTAGGTGAAAGTCACAGTTTGGTCCACCTGAAACCTGCTGATCTCCCAGTCCAAGAAGTTGTTCTTGACCAGGTGTTGCAGAATGGCACATTCTCACTATGTGTTGAGGGATGCACTAGAATTTGGGGCTGCTGTTTCAGAGGCACAATGGGGAAATAAGACTGTTGAAGGCATTTCAGCCATAATGTGTCGAAGAGCTGGAAACTGTAGAAACCGTAAGATTGTGTGTTACAAAGAATATATAATGTAAATCAGGAGTATTGAAAATTTATTGCGGCACCTGGTAAAACATGGTGAACAAAAAAAACTTTCTATTAATCAAATATTTTGTTAATTCCAATTTGACATATTTTTGCCTTTGGCTGTATGTCTGACTTGTAAAGTATTTTGTCAATATTAAGTCCATTAGAACAGTATCGAATCAAACACACTGTATTGAGAAGACAAATTTTTTTGAAAGTGTAATATTCAAGTTGAAATGTTTTGTCATTTTAAAAAAAAAAACATTCTATGAATAAAGAATTTAAGTTTGGCCCAAATTCCAAACAATTCCCCTGACCCAGTCACCCAAATTCTCCATCCAGGGTCAATTATGGCATTCACTTTTTGCAATAAATCAGAACATTCTGAAGAAGAGTCACTGGACCCAAAACGTTAATTCTGATTTTTCACCACAGATGCTACCAGACCTGCTGAGATTTTCAGGCAATTTCTGTTTTTGTTTCAGATCACAGCATCTACAGTTTTTAGGTTTTTCTAAATCTTTCCCCCTTTTTGGCCTAGAAATGGAATGGTATTGATATTTCGATAAAACCTATGCTATAATTGATTTTTGACAGTTGTTAGCCTATCCCTGCATGCTGGTGATAAAGATTTCTGATTTTAACTCTTTCCAGACTCTGCGTGTATTTGTCCCCAATAATTTGGCATCACAAACACTGACAGCTGTGGCTAAAGGAACATCCATGTGGTAGCAGGAATAGAGGGTGAGCTTATTCTGCACCACCCCATGCCTGGGTATGTCTGGCTGACCCAAAAACAGAAATTGCTGGAGAAACTCGGCAGCAGGTCTGGCAGATCTGTGGACAGAAAGCAGGGCTAATGTTTCAAGTTCAGTGACCCTTCAGAACTCAACAGCCATCTGATCAGTGGGGCATCCTCAGAACCTTAGGGATGACAAATATTAGAACAGATGTAGCACAGTGGCTCAGTGGTCAGCACTGCTGCCTCACAGCACCAGGGACCAGGATTCGATTCCACCCTTGGGTGACTGTATGTGTGGAGTTTGCACATTCTCCCTGTGTCTACATGGGTTTTCTCTAGTGCTCCAGTTTCCTCCCACAGTCTAAAGATGTGCAAGCAAGGTGGATTGGCCATGCTAAATTGCCCGTAGTGTTCAGGGATGTGTAGATTAGGTGGGTTATGAGGGATGAGTCTGGGAAGGATGCTATGAGGGCAGTGTGGACTTGTTGGGCTGAAGGGCCTGTTTCCACACTGTAGGGATTATATGATTTATGATCTAGAATTGGAGAGGCTGTACATCCGAAACTGGGAACTCCTCTGAAACCTTGGAAGAAGAAACCCAAATTAAAGATACAACCATAAACTTCCAGACACAGCCAGTTTGATCATCAGTGGGTTTAATGAGCCATTCTTGGTGGTGAACAGTGACATCCATTACCCAGAGAGCATTCTGTGCCCATAGTGCTTCTTCTAAGTTGTGGTCAGCATAGAGGTTTATTGATTCATTAGCTGAGGGAAGATGGTAAATGGAAATCCAGTAAAGGTCCCTTGCCTATGTTTGACCTGATGCTATAAGACTTTGTGGAGCTGCATCAATGTTGAAGACTCCAAGAAACACTCCTCCTCTACCAATCATCTTCACCTTGGTGGGCAAGGCAAGCCCAGGGTTGGTAAAGATGAAGTTTGGTATTTTTGATTTGAAATTGATAGGTTTTTGTTTTCTAAAGGTATTGTGGGATATGTAATGGAATATGAACAAAAGTGGAACAAAATATGGAGATATGTCACAGTTTAGTCATTGATCTCATTGAATGATAGAACATCCTGAAGATCTGACATGGCTCTTAATTTGGCAACAGCCATAATTATGTGATTGCAACTATGTCAAGCTGTCACTTGATTGTCTATGAGGCAACTGTCTCAATTTTGGCACAAGTCAACAGTAATTAATTAGTAAAATTACTTGTGCTGTGTTTGATTTTATTATGTCTGATACTTAGGTTGATGCTAAGTGGCCTGTTCAGTTTTATTATACTTGCACTTGTCATAGATGTTTGATTCTTTGAGGCTTGCTAGATCATTTCAGAGGCCAGTTCTTTATCAGCCATATTGCTAGGGGTATAGAGTCAAATGTAGATCCCATTGAGTAAGGATGACAGATTTCCTATGGTACAGTACTGAACCAGATGGGTTTTTAATAACAATTTCTTGGTCATTATTACTAGTTTGTCATTCCAGATCTATTAAATTAACTGAATTCAACTTCCCTTCTTTACCCTGGTAGGATTCGAATTCATGTCTGTTGTTTAATAGCCCAGCTTTCTGGATTATTTGTTCTGTAAGTTAACCTACTATGTCGCTGTATCTGTCTGTACAGGTGCTTTTGCTGGAGTACTGGACCTACATACTTCTGCTGTATAGCAAGTTATAGAAATAAAGGATTTAACTGGACACGTAACTAAGTATTTACATTGAACATGAAACAGTAGAATAGAATGATAAGCTCTATTGTTTAGGATTTTTGGATATGATGAGGACATAGTAAGGAATTACATAAACTACAGGTTCTTTTAAAAAGATTCGTTTGAAATGGCTCAATGCATCCTTTTGCTTATCTGATCTTTAAATGAACTGTAACTAAATTACACCTATTAAATTTTAAACACGTCTGCTAAATTAACAGGATGCTTCTATCTCCTGGGATCCCAATTAATAGGATGCTATGCTTTAAGTTGCATATATTCCTTTGTCTCCAAGTGAATATATTGTATAATATAATAATGATTGTATGCATTTTAAATATTCACAGGGATCCCAGCCAGTTGATTAATGAAACAGTATTATTACGGCAACAAAACTGAATTTTACTATTAGTATTAAAATGTTTAAGGTGAGTAGAATTGTGCAGCTAAAGTGAAGTAAAGTTAGCAGCTAAGGTTTTATGGCTGGACTTGAAATATTGTACATAAAACTGAAGTGATTTAAATGTTTATTTCAGAACCAAATGCAATCCTTAGACAAACATGTGAATATGTTTATGGACTACATGTTCGGTCCTAGAGGTAAGTCAGCCTAATTAATCTGAAATCTGATACTTGGTGTAGGATATATAGATACTGTCAGATGTGGATGTTTGGGTAATATATAGAACCATGATTTACAAAGTGCGCATGTACACCCAGTGTATACATATACTGAGTAATAGGAAACAGAGTAATGGTCCAGATACTTTTTCAAATTTGGAGGAAGATTAGGGTTAGTGGAGTTCTCCATGGGTCAGTATTGGGATCCTTGCATTTTCTGATATTTATTAGTGGGGGCATAGAGTACAGGAGCGAGGAGATGATGTTGAATTTACGTAAGATGCTTGTTAGATCTCAGCTGAATGATTGTGTACAGTTGTGGGTGCCACATTAAAGGAAAGATGTAAATGCATTGGAGAGAACGCAAAGGTGATTTACAAGATTGGTTTCAGGAATGAAAAACTTTAATTATGAAGAAAGATTATAGAAGTTGGGACTGTTTTCCTTGGAGAAAAGAACACTGACAGGAGATTTGACCGAGGTTTTCAAAAACACAAACAGGCCGGATGGAGTAGGTGGGGTGAAGTTGTTCTCACTTCTATTAGGAAAAGGTTTAATAGGTTTAAAGCGATGTGCAAAAGAAGCAGGGTGATGAAAAGAAGCTACAAAATACATTTTCCATATACCAAGTAGGTAGGATGTGCAATATACTGCCTAGAAATATGGTGGAGTCAGGTTCAATTGAGACATTCAAGAGAGCATTAATTGAATAGAAATTATGTGCAAGGGTATGTGGAAAAAGCAGGAGATTGGCTCAAGGTAACATTGTTTGGTTGAAGAGCTGCTGCAGGCACAATGGTTGGATTTGCTTCTTTCTGCACCGCACCACTTCTGAGATTATGTGGCAAATGCTGTGTGTATCAGAATGAAAAAAATTGCAAAAAGGAAAACATCACATCCAAGCTTTTTATCTTGCAGTCACCAGGACTGCATTTGACATAGTCTACTTTGACTTCACCAATGCTTTTTATAAAGTCATGCATGGGATACTGACAGTGAAGGTAGGAGCTCATGAATCCAAGGGAATTTGATTAATTGGATTCTAAATTGGCTGAGTGGCAGGAAGCAAAGAGTGATGGTCAAGAGGTGTTTTTGTATCTGGAGGCCTGTATACAATGGGGTTCTACTGGGATCAGTGTTGGGGCCCTTGCTCCTTGTGTTATATATAAATTATTTCAGCTTGAATGTAGGAGGGTTAATCAGTAAATTCGTGGATGATGTGAAAATTGGTGGGGTGGGAAATAGGAGGATAGGTGGATGTCTGGTCAAATGACTGGTCATTGGCAAATGGAATTCAATCCAGATAATTGTGAGCTGATGCATTTGGACAGGACAAAGATGGCAAGTGAAGACATGATGAACAGGAGGAACCTGGGAAACAGCGAGGCTCAGTGTGCCTTGGTGTGCATGTCCACCAGTCCCTTCAGGTCGCAGAACAGGAACAGAAGAGGCATTTGGAGTGATGCCATTATTAGATGAGGCACAGAGTTGCAGAGGAAGAAGGTGATGCTGGATCTGTATTAAATGTTGGTTGTGCCATGGCTAGACTATCTTGAACAGTTCTTGAATGCCATTATAGGAGGGAGGTGATTGCAAGTGGCTCTGTTAGAACCCAAATCAAGCATCAGTGAACAGATTATTGCTAAATGCCACTTGACAGTGTTAAGTCAGCAATTAATTCTGCTCATCGCGTATATGAGCTATCTGTACTGTTGCTCACTATAAAGTAGTTTTGCTGCCTTTAGCTTCTTTTTGGGTGCAGTGATCTACAGGACCTGTTTAGCCTGACCTTATTGAGAGAAATCATTTGCTGGCCTAATGGGAAGAGGCTTTCGTCTTAACCAAGCCTCTTCCACTGATTGATTGTTACAGAGACTATGTCTACGAGGAAGGCCCAGATTGCAGGTCTTACTCCTTCAAGGTCCTAAGCTGTTCTCCCACCAAACCCATCTGATATCAAAGTAGGTGCACCAGCACAGAGGGTGACTAGTAAGAGAGTGGAAACTCTGGTAGTTGAGCTAAGTGTGGAAATTTAAGAGTATAAGTCTTAATGTTTTGCATTCTTAAAATCTAAAACTGTGGATAAGGGAAGGGTAGATATTTAAGGGTTGTATTTTCTTTCCTTTAGGCCTAAGGAAAGTTTAAACAAGCACTTTTAGTAGCTACTTAATCTAATTAAGCTAATTAAGTAAACTGGTTAAATTTGGTTCTTGTAGCAGGGCAGGCCTTATTACAGTAAGGCCCAAAGTCTCTCAGCACAGAGTGTGACCAGCAAGAGAGTGCAAATGCTGTGGGTGAGGGTGAGGGTGAGGGTGAGGGACCGTGATAGAGGTTGAGAGAGTGAGATTATGAAACAGACTGAGAGAGTATCAGAGTGTGAGTGAATGAAAGAGTGTGAGCATGAGTGAGACAGTGCGACAGAGTCTGTGAGATAGTCAGAGAGTATGAGAGACCGTGAGAGAGAGAGTGACTGTGAGAGAGAGTGTGAGAGAGTGAAAGTGAGTGGGCGTGATAGTGTGAGAGAATGTGAGAGTGAGAGCATGTGAGAGAGTGAGTGTGATAGAGAGAGGGAGAGACTATGAGAGAGAGTGATCGAGTGTTAGAGCGTGAATGAGTGAAAGAGTGTGAGAGTGAGTGTGAGTGTGACAGGGTGTGAGAGACTGTGAGACAGAAAGTGACTGTGAGAGAGAGATACTATGTGAGAATTTGAGTGAGTATGAGAGATTGTGAGAGAGGGTGAGTGTGATAGAGAGTGAGCGAGATTATGAGAGAGAGTGAGAGTGTGAGAGTGAGTGAGAGAATGTCACAGTGTATGAGAGAGTCAGAGTGTGAGACGCTGTGAGAGAGAGAGTGAGTGAGATCGAGAGTGAGCGATTGTGAGAGACAGTGTGTGTGAGAGAGAGTAAGTGTAATAGAGATTGAGTGTGAGAGAGTGGGCGTGTTAGAGTGAGAGTGTGTGGGAGAGAGTGTGACTATGATAGAGAGTGAGAGAGATTATGAGAGAGTGTCAGAGTGTGAGAGTGAATGAGAGAGTTCAACAGAGTGTGTGAGAGAGTCAGAGATTGTGAAAGACTGTGAGGTGAGAGTGTGAGACAGAGTAAGAGATTGAGAGAATTTGAGAGAGAGTGAGTGATAATGTATGAGATAATTTGAGAGAATGAGAGAGTATGAGAGATTGTGAAAGAGAGATGAGTGTGATAGAGAGTGTGAGAGTGAGAGTGAGTGTTGATGCGCAGAGATCTGGGTGTTCAGGTCCATTGTACCCTGAAGGTGGCAATGCAGGTGGATAGAGTGGTCAAGAAGGCATACGGCATGCTTTCATTCATCGGATGGGGTATTGAGTACAAGAGTTGGCAGGTCATGTTACAGTTGTATAGGACTTTGGTTCAACCACATTTGGAATACTGCGTACAGTTCTGGTCGCCACATTAGCAAAAGGATGTGGATGCTTTGGAGAGGGTGCAGAGGAGGTTCACCAGGATGTTGCCTGGTATGGAGGGCGCTAGCTATGAAGAGAGGTTGAGTAGATTAGGATTATTTACATTAGAAAGACGGAGGTTGAGGGGGTACCTGATTGAGGTCTACAAAATCATGAGAGGTATAGACAGGGTGGATAGCAAGAAGCTTTTTCCAAGAGTGGGGGACTCAATTACTAGGGATCACGATTTCAAGGTGAGAGGGGAAAAGTTTAAGGGAGATATGCGTGGAAAGTTCTTTACGCAGAGGGTGGTGGTTGCCTGAAACGTGTTGCCAGCAGAGGTGGTAGAGGCGGGCAAGATAGCGTCAGTTAAGATGTAGCTAGAGAGATACATGAATGGGCAGGGAGCAGAGGGATACAGATCCTTGGAAAATAGGCGACAGGTTCAGATAGAGGATCTGGATCGGCGCAGGCATGGAAGCCCGAAGGGCCTGTTCCTGTGCTGTAATTTTCTTTGTTCTTTGTCAGAGAGTGTGAGAGTGAGTGAGAGAGTGCGACAGTGCATGAGAGAGTCAGAGTATGAGACTCTGTGAGAGAGAGAGTGACTGTTATAGAGAGTGAGTGTGAGAGAGTGTAAGAGAGAGAATGAGTGTGATCGAGAGTGAGAAAATGTATGAGATTGAGACAGCGTGAGACAGTGAGAGAGAGTGAAAGAGTGTGTGAGAGAGTGTGAGAGTGAGTTGCTGTGATAGAGGGTGAGAGACTGTGAGTTTGAGAGAGTGAAAGAGAGTGTGATAGAGTGTGAGTTTGAGGGTGAGTATGTGAATGAGTGATAGTGTGTGAGAGAATTTGAGAGAGTGTCAGAGTGCGAGAGACTATGTGAGAAAACAACAGGAACAAAGAAAGAACGAAGAGAATTACAGCACAGGAACAGGCCCTTTGGCCCTCCAAGCCTGCGCTGATCCAGATCCTCTATCTAAACCTATCGCCTATTTTCCAATGATCTGTATCCCGCTGCTCCCTGCCCATTCATGTATCTGTCTAGATACATCTTAAATGACGCCATCATGCCCGCCTCTACCACCTCCGCTGGCAACACGTTCCAGGCAACCACCACACTCTGCGTAAAAAACTTTCCACGCATATCTCCCTTAAATTTTTCCCCACTCACCTTGAAATCGTGATCCCTAGTAACTAAGTTCCCCACTCTGGGGAAAAAGCTTCTTGCTATCCACCCTGTCTATATCTCTCATGATTTTGTAGACCTCAATCAGGTCCCCCCTCAACCTCTGTCTTTCTAATGTAAATAATCCTAATCTACTCAACCTCTCTTCATAGCTAGCGCCCTCCATACCAGGCAACATCCTGGTGAACCTCCTCTGCACCCTCTCCAAAGCATCCACATCCTTTTGCTAATGTGGCGACCAGAACTGTATGCAGTATTCCAAATGTGGTTGAACCAAAGTCCTATACAACTGTAACATGACCTGCCAACTCTTGTACTCAATACCCCGTCTGATGTATGCCTTCTTGACCACTCTATCCACCTGCGCTGCCACGT